CCTGGATCTCTGCTGAGGGCACTGCTACAGTCAGAGGAGGGAGCTAGAGACCACTGCTACCCTCCTTTTCTTTTGCTGGGGTTTGTGGTGAGGGTCCAGAGTTGTGGACCCCATCTTGTTCACTGGCACTATATTCTCAGCCATGGTAGCCAAGGAACCAGGATCATGGGCTCCATCCCTGTCATTCCCCCCATTCAGCTTCCCCAATGCATTCCAATTCGTTCATCTTCAGATCTAGATGTATGAGTTTCTCAGGCGTACTAGTGTGTTGAGCAGAGGAACCTTTGTTGGGTTATAGATGCCCCACTAGTTGTAGGTTGAAGGGGAGAGACAAAGGGATCATGTCACTCTGCATGATGCTGATGTCACCCTCTCCTTAATTCTTAACCTTAGTCCTACTTTGGTTTTCTGCACTACAGCATCTCTATACACTACAAGTTTCACCTTTGAGTCTTTTGGTGTTCAGTCCCTAACTTCCTTAGGGATTGCTGTTCATTGAGCCCAGTATCTAACAATCCTAAGAAGTTGTGGGGTTTTTTGTGTTTGTTTGTTTGTTTTTTGTGTTGTTGTTGTTGTTGTTTTCAGATTCTTTGGCTAAACTGAGAGAACAAATTCAGCCCATTGTTTATTTTCCATTCCCCCTTTGATCCTCACAATTGGGCTGAACTCCTCCAGATTAGGACAGATAGAGTGAATTTGCTAAAAAGTTTTAAAAGGTGGTTCCAGAATGCCTCTCCTATCTCCTAAAACATAATAAGGCTTTAGTAAATCCTTAGTGGCAATTCCATCAATTTCCTATTTTTTCTTTCCATTTTTCTAGGAAGCCATCTAAACAACTTCACCCAGTTGAGCCAGTTATCTGCTCTCCTTCCACTTTTTATTTCTCTCCTTTGTGCCTTCTTTCTTTTAGATGGCTCAGAACTTTTTCCACCATACAGCCTTATGCACGGTGACTAAGACAGCAGATCTGTTACTGCCCCTGAGCATTCTTGCAGCTTCCCAAGAGAAAGGTTCTCATGACCTACTCCCATCATGTCATCATTTGTGCCAGCAACATTAAATTATGTCTCCCTCTGTATAGGGTTACTTGCACTTGGATCATTCTTATTCTTATTTTTAAAAATTCCATTTGTAGTTTGGGGAAGGAGTAAGGCACTTACTCCTCTCAGGGTATAAGCACCAAATCAAAGCCTTTGCCCACTGTTGCAGGTCAGAAGCATAGAGAAAACACTTATACCATTCATCTGCTTAACCCAAATAATCCTGTACACTCAACAATGTCCAAAACAGTGATATGGCCTCCTGATTGTTAATTCTAATAATCCATGACAATAATTATTCCCCAAGATTTTATTATTTTCCATAGAGTCCTAATTGTTAAACAGATTATACATATATATATATATATATTCATATTAAAAGAAATCTGGGCACTTTGAAAAAAATGAAAACTAGAAATCTAGATCTTGGGCAGAAAATGTACAAGATGACCTCATGTGTTCATAGCACTATTTTTACAGTCATGTGCCACTTAATGACATGGATATGTTCTGAGAAATGCATCATTAGGTGATTTCTTCATTGTGCAAACATTACACAAACCTAAATGGCACAGCCTATACACACTTAGGCTACATGGTACAGTCTACTGTTCCTAGGCTACAAGCCTGTACAGCCTGTTACTATATAAAACAACACCAGATTAAATCAAGCAAAATAGAAAATTTGCAATCAAGAGATGTAGTCAGCATGAGATGTACAAGGCTACTGCTAAAAACAAACTTTTATTAATAAATAGAAAGAGTACACTCTAAATAATAATAAAAAGTATAGTATGATAAATACATAAATAGTATAATAAATATAGTAACAGCCATTTATTATAATTATCAAGAATTATGTACTGTACATCATTGTATGTGCTGTACTTTTATACAACTGGCAACACAGTGGGTTTGTTTACACCTGTATCTCACACACAAGTAATGCATTTTGCTACATTATGGTGGCTATGCATCACTAGGCCATAGGAATTTCTCAGCTCCGTTACAATCTTTTAGGCCCATCATTGCATATGTGGCCCGTTGTTGACCAAAATGTTTCAGAGTGCACCACTGTAATAGCACTAAACTAGAAACTACCTACATATCATCAGTGGTAAATTGGACAATTAAATTGTGGTACATTCCTACAATGGACCTCCATACCATAATGAGAAGTAAACAAATGATTGCTTTATTCAATAATGTGGATTAATCTCATAAACATAATGTTGAGCCAAAGAAGCCAGACACAACTGTGTATGGTTGGCTCAATCATATTAAATTGAACAACAGGAAAAACTAACCTACAGCTTTAAGTGTCAGGAGAGCTTTTACCTTTGGAAAATACTGACTAGGAGGATATCAGAAATGCCACATATCTGGATTTGGGTGTTGATTACATAGTTATTTTCACTATGTGGAAATGCATCAAATTTCATCAAATTCATCAATTCTTAGCTATTTACTAAGAATTTGTTCAATTTTTTGCATTTATGCTACACTTCAATAAAATATTACTTAAAGATAAAACATGAGGTAGATCTATATTTATTGACATAGAAAAAAATCTCCAAGATATGTTGAGTAAAAAAAGGCAAGTTCCCAATCAATACAGACTTAAGATACCATTCGTATAGTATTAGAAAACCTATAAAACAATAATAATATTTCTACACATGCATATACATGTGCCAAAAATAAATGTGATCTAGGAAGGTGATCAGTCATCAACTCTGGTGTATATCCCTGGGAAATGAAGTACTTGGTGGGAGAGGAGAGACTAGAAAACACATGGAAGCTTTTCTTGATCTATGAAAATTTAACATTATATAGCAAAAATGTTTTCAATACTCATATAATTAAAAGTAAATATTTCTAAAAGGCAGGACTGTTCTTAAATCCAATGTTCAAATGATTCTTTAAATAAGTCTAAAAACCAGACACCTGTAAAATATTAAGCTATTATGTAAAAATTTCAAGAGTTCACCGAGCCCGCCGACACCAAGGTTATGTAACACAATTATCAGAAATATATTTGTATAATTCATGTAGAATCAATCCTTTTCTGAGACCATTCCATAAGATAAAGGGCCAAAAAACTTTGCTGAATCCCTCTCCCATTTTTGGCTTAAACCTTTTCTGAAAACTTTAAAAGGACCAAAAAAAGATGGGAGCCTGTAATGCATCTTTTATATTTTTCTGCCTCTTTAGAAAATAGGTACCATTCAACAAACCTTTAATACTGTTCTTCAGAATAACTTTCATCTTTGCATACCTATAGGTAAGCAATAGAAACTATGTGCTGTAAGTGTTAAAATTAAATCTATGCCCTAGCCGGGTTGGCTCAGTGAATAGAGCATCAGCCCATGGACTGAAGGGTCCCAGTTTTGATTCTGGTCAAAAGGCCACAGGTTTGATCTGGTCAAAGTACCTCGGTTGCAGGCTTGATCCCAGGCCCTGGTCAGGGCGTGTGTGGGAGGCAACCAATCAATGGTGTCTCTCACACATCTATGTTTCCTTCTGTCTTTCTCCCTTCCTTCCACCCTTTCTAAAAATCAATGGAAAAATATCCTCAGGTGAGGATTAACAGGAAAAATTTAAATCTATACTTTTGTCTTCGAGAGGCCAAGAAAACATTAGCTCAGTTTTATACTTTACCCTAATGTTTAATACAATTTATTAACATCTCTGACCCCTACCTAGAGGTACACACACATCCACACATACAACTAAAAAGACATACAGTATCAGTTACATGCTATAATCAAAGTAGCAAGGTCATATTCTTTAGCTGTCTTTCTAATGAGGCAGGTTCTCTGTGGGTTCTAATCCTATCCATTCTCTAGTAGGAAAAGGGATTAAGTGTGTACTGTCCAGTGAGATGTCACATAAAAATCATTACAGAAGTAGGCAATCTTAGAAAATCCAAGAGAGAGACCATACTCTATATAGATTCATATAGAAAATTATATTACAGATATACCTATAGTGAGAACTCCAATCATAAGAGTTGCTCAGCAACATTTTCTCAAAAATAAGAACACAACACACTTCAATCTTTCTCTTTTTATCAACTGCAGATTCTCTAAATAAGGCTTTCTACTAAAGACGAGACCTTGACTTTAACAAGAAAAGAGTAGCTCGGTATTGACCAAGGAGAAATATTATGGGATCTTCCTTTTAATGCTGTTTAAAATGTGAATTTATTTGTAAATATTCCACAGCTTGAGACCTCGTTATTTCAGAGATCATAAAAGTAAACACTCTCAAATGATTTAGACTTTGAGAAGCCCGAGGCTCCAGGGCATTTCCTGTAATAGGTTCATGAAATAAATGTATTGGGCTCAAACCCTATGGTTTCTTGAAAATGAATATAATTATAAAAATGCAAAACAAATTAATGTGTTCATGTGTAATGGCCATATTTGAATCAGATTACCACCTGCCTACTACATTGTGTCTATGGTAACTGATCAAATGGCATCTTCTCAAATATCATTTTCTTACCAACCCCAACAAAAATCCACTACTCTGCTTATTTCTGATATCACAAACAAAGCCAATAATTCTATTTTAACATTATTAAAATGTTAACAAAATACAAGGAAAATATCATGTGTTGTGCCAAATATAGTTTTTGAAAGGTTAAAAATTCAACCTGTATTTCCTGTACCCTATGAACCCGAATTCCAAATCCTACAGAAAGAACTTAAAAGTCCATATGCAATACCAGTTTTAGAGGCAGTTATATATTTAAAAATAAAATGATGAGGCTCACTATTAATTACTTTGGTAAATGGTCAAAAGCCCATTTTAAAAGTTACCCTCACTCAACTTTCTGTGACTCCTCATTTCTATATTCTAAATCATTCTTCCTTGTTTGCTGTAACTGCTTATTAGTGAACTCATCATATGTGTGGTAACAGACAGAGCTCCCTTTTGAGTCTGGCTACATACCCAAAGCTGCTACTTTGATGATGATCGCCTGAATGTTAGATGCTATCATCTCTCGGAGCAAATCTTCCTGGTTTCTCTGCCAAAGGTAAGCTAAAGGCTGAAGATTAAGCCTTTTACACCTATAAAATAAAAAATAAAAAATCAGATGATATCTTAATGTTCCATACTTATATCCATTACTTTGATTTTATACATAATGCATCTCTCAAGGATTTTAGTATATAAAAGGTTTTTAAAAACATTTTTTGTATAATAGAGTTTATATATACAACAAAAATATTATTTAATTTCCATATGCTATGCATAAACAGATAAAAATAAAATCTCCAGGCAGATTATAAGTATTAATTTGAGTAAGACTCTCTGTAAGTTTAATAATCTATGCAAAAAGCTTCCAATGTCAATGGATAATTACCTTTGTTTTTAGAACTTCTTGGGTATCAAAATTGTAAAGCATATGCAAAGTAGGCAAATAAATTTAGCCTAATAAAATAATCATGTTGGTTAAATTTACAATACCTATGGTTACATGAACTATTTTTATCTACTAACTGAAATTTTTAAAAATAATTTGACTCTGTGAAAAGAAAATAAACAGAACAAATTGTGTAATATATTGAAGTATTGTACTACATATTTTAAATTATGGTGCAGTAAAATGAATATGGGTTTTGGGGTCAGGACAAATCTGGGTTTGAAACCTACTTCTGCACTCACCAACTATGTGACTTCAGCAAGTCAAAACTAAGCTATAAGTCTTTAGTTTCCTAGTTCATAAATAGGAACAAAGACATTTTCTTTCAAAGTTCTTAATACAATTATAAGATTAGAAAGTGTAGTAATCCTTTACTCCTTTCTTCACATTCCTCATGCAGTCTACCACAATGCAGAATATGATCACTTCTCACCATTACCACTACTATGACCCGGTCTGGGGCACCATTATCTCTCATGTTAATGCCTTCAAACCTCATTCTCTGTTTCTGTCCTTGCCCATTTAAAATCAGTTTTCATACAGCAGCCAGTGTGATCCTTTTAAAACATAAATGGATCATGAGATTCCTCTGCTCAAAACCCTCTTCATCACTCAGTAAAAGTTATTGCACTGAACTACATGGACCTCAGCCTGGTTAGCTTTCACACCTTATTTCCTACTACTCTCCCCTCACTCCAGTTGCCACCCCTACCCTGCTCACTCTTGCCTAATACTAACTAGGCTCCCTACCTTCTCTTGCTTCATACATTTGTGTAAATATCATTTTCTCAAGGACCATAATTGATTAAAAGTAATATAATGAATGTAGTACAATGCTCAGATAAAATATTCAAAAAATGGTAGTCAAAGCCAAGCAACTTGCCCATGTCACACAATAAGTGGCTGAGATTAGATTTCAAACAAGAAATTTAGCTCTAAAACCCACCATCTCTAATGTCTGTAAGATTACCTGGCTGACTAGCCCACACTGATCTTTTTCTCCAAAAATTCCAAACTTAGTAAATGTACCACATGTTTGGTCATTTACTCATCCATGGCCTTAAAAATATCACTACTTTTGCCCCAGCTGGTTTGGCTCACTGGGTAGTGCATCAGCCTGCGAACTGAAGGGTCCCAGGTTCGATTCTGGTTGCAGGCTCAGTCCCCAATGAGGGGCGTCCAGGAGGCAACCGGTCAGTGATTCTCTCTCATCATTGATGTTTCTATTTCTCTAACTCTCTCCCTTCTTCTCTGAAATCAATAAAAGTATATTTAAAAAATATATCACTACTTTTTTCATGTACATAAACCCTGACTTTCAAAGAAAAAAAACTATCTTCCTTACTGTAGAGACTGTTTTATATAATTTTCCTTTGTAAAATGTCCCAGAGCATACAGCACTATGCTGAGGCAGTTAATAAAAAAACGATGAAACTGAAACTAATGATGTAACACAAGCATTACATTTCTTGCTGTCCTCACCAATATTCAATGCCTAATAGTCAAACTAGTCTCTACCATTTTTAGCTGAGATTTTTTTAATTGAAAAAAATTCATTCCTTTCTGTCCTTTTTTCAAAATTCTTGACTGTTGCTTTAATATTCATAATCTGTTGACTATTTGTAGACTTATGTCAAAATTCTTTACCTAGTTAAATTTTTTAACAGTTCAAAATACCATGCCTCAAATACATTTCCTCTGTAAATCGCTGTTGCATTTGAGCTAGTGACATTTTTTAAATGCATTATATCTTGAAAATATAATGATGCAACACAAACTACAAACTGAAGATAGACTAATTCCCAATAGGCTAATTCAAAACTGAGTTTGTAGACCAATGCTTTAAAAATTTCAAGAATAAAATTGTTGCAGATATGCTTCATATTATAAAGTCTGGGCATTTTAATCATGTGTTTAAATGTTCCTGAGACTGCATTTTGAGAAAAATATTTCCTCTATCCATTAGAATACTATGGGCGCTTCTTCCATATAGCCCCCTAATCATTAGCACATTTTCACATTAGCACATTGAGCTTTTTGACTTTCATCAATAGATGTCAGCACTATCTACAGTTTGGCTACCCATTAAACCACGTGGGTTTGAACTTATTAAAAAATAAAGATTTTTGTTTTGGCTCAGTAGATAGAGTGTCGGCCTGCGGACTGAAGGGTTCCAGTTCGATTCCAGTCAAGGGCACATGCCGGGGTTGCGAGCTTGATCCCCAGTGGGGGGCGTGCAGGAGGCAGCCGATCAATGGTTCACTCTCATCATTGATGTTTCTATCTCTCTCTTTCTCTGCCTCTCTGAAATCAATAAAAATATATTAAGAAAAACACAGATTTGTAAACTAAATAATTCTCAGAGAGGGTGACCTAAAAACTGCAGAGAGTAATATTCTTTCTTTTTTTTTGAATTAAATTTTATTGGGGTGACATGGGTCAACATGAACATATAGGTTTCATGTGTGGATTTCTAAGTTACAAAATCTATATATAGCACCATGTGTCCACCACCCAAAGTCAAGTCTTCTGTCACCCCATAGGAGGACTCTCTTCTCCCCCCAACCCCCGGCAACCACCATACTGCTATTTGTGTTCCTAAGTTTCAGTTTTATAGCCCACATGAATGAAAACATGGTTCTTAGCTGTTTCTGACTTATTTCACTTGGCATAATGTTCTCAAGGTCCATCCATGTTGCTATAAATGATGCTATTTCATCCTTTCTTATGGCTGAGTAATATTCCATTGTGTATATGTACCACATCCTCTTTATCCAGTACTCTATCGCAAGACTTTGGATATTTCCATGTTTTGACCACCGTGAATAATGCTGCAATGAACATTGGGAAGCATATGTCTTTGCATATAAATGATTTCGCGTTTTTCGGGTATATACCGAAAAGTGAAATTGGTGGGCCATATGGTAGCTCTATTCTTAATTTTTTGAGGAATTGCCAGACTGCTTTCCATAGTGGTTGTACCAATCTGCATTCCCACCAGCAGTGAATGAGGGTTCCCTTTTTTCTGCAACCTCTCCAACACTTGTTATTGTTTGTCCTGTTGATAATGGCCACTCTGACAGGTATAAGGTGGTATCTCATTGTAGTTTTGATTTGCATTTCCCTGATTGCCAGTGAGGTTGAACATCTTTTCATATATCTATTGACTGTTTGTATGTCTTCTTGGGAGAGGTGTATTTTTAGGTCCTCTGCTGCAGAGAATAATATTATTTCTATGTATGGCTTAAGGGATATAGAATTCAGCTCTATCTATAAATCAGTTCTTAAACGTAAGCAGGCAGAAGGTAAGGAAAATTTCCCAAATTACACCTTTAACTATGCTTTGCCTTGCAGTCCTATCATTTACTTTTTAAAATCTGTATTTTTAACTGACTTAAATTCATTGTGGAATTAGAGGAAACAAATAAAATAAAAATTTAGACTTAAGTGTTCAAGTCCATTAATATACAAGTTTTTAATGAGAGCCAATATAAAGATTTCTTTGTCAAGGATACGAAACCATTACATATATACATTCTTTATCTTATTTCTATTTACCCTTGTGAGTGTCAAAATTATTTATTTAGAGGCTAAGTTTTGCCCAAGATACTGAAGTCCACATTTTCTTTTTTTGCTAATATAATTACATATAAAGCCTCTATATGATATTTTGATTATTCAAAGAAATTAAAAATGAAAAAATAAATTCATTTGTATTATTTTTTCCAAACATTAAATAATCCATATTATCATTTGACCTTATATGTTTTTTTAATAGATTAATGAAATGAACTGTTTTGGTATTTATACATACAGACAGTGATTTACTAGTGCTACACTCCTTAGGAGTGGGAAGGAGTGGGGAAAAACAACCTGAAAACTCCTTGAAAGTTGAATTACTTTATATAGAAGTATTTCAATCATGAATACTTTTGGCCAAGAACTGAATCCTAAGCACCAAAGAAGGGCAGAGTCCTTAATAAGCTTCTTTTTTTTTTTTTTTGTCTTTAAGATATTACTGCATTCCTCTATAAGCTCCTGATTTTTATTACAAATGATAAGGAGTTAAAAGAGATTAAAAGAGTGTACTGATTTAAATGAGAAAAAATTAAAAATAATACTTTTTACTTTAAAAAGCTTTGCCTCAATTTTTTATTATAAATAATGTATTTTTTTCCTTATGGTAAGTAAGTTAGAGTTTTATCCACGTGTAATATAAGAATAGAACAAAAATAAAAGTGCAACTTTTGTTACTCAGGTAAACAGATAGTTCCATGGGCATATAGGATATCATATTTATTTATTATCTGGATACAATTATATGTTTTATTTACTCACATTCTTAAAATAAATGCATATATAAATAACAGGATAACTAATGTTCTCTTACACATTTTCTACTCGAACACGCTGATAGTCAGAAAGAATAGCGCCTACTGATATCCCTTCCACTTCTTCTTTTTCCTGAAAATAAAGAAAAAATATAACATGAAAAATAAACATGTGATTCTTCATCATGATCTGAAAATTATAAATGAAGTGTGTCTTGTTTGGAAAACCACCTTGAAGGAGAATAATTTACTGAAAATGCAATCCACATTAAGGAAAAAAAATGCATACATTTAAGTTATCCTCTCAGCTGGGGAGAAATTAAGTATTCTTTTTACTAACAATCCAAATAACTACACGCCATTTTCCATGGAAAAGGTAAAGACTAAGGCAGCTTTAATATGCAAAAAACTTCCAAAATGTTTTCTCACTTAACATACTTGTAAAGACTCACTGATGTTTGATGGAAAATTTTTTGAGAAATTTCTATTTAAGGACAGTATTTTCCCAGATTGTCTTTAAAAACAAACAAAGAATGGCATAAGTAGATGAGGGAACACAATGATTTGTATCTGTATCTTAGAAAAAGATGATTGACAAAAGAGAGTAGCACCCGGGAAGCAGAGGTGGTACAGCCATTGCCTAGAGAACAGAATAGAATAGTGGATAAAAAAATATATGATGGGAAGGAAACAATGAATTATGATCAACAGAGTTACAACTAAGGATATTCAGTAGTATATCCAGCAGCGACCCCCAGGGAAGAGGACTAGTCTATCCAACATGCTCATTAATGACCTGGAGGAGAATGTAAATTCTAATATGATCAAGTTTGCAGATGATACAAACCTAGGATGGATGAAACAGAAAAGAAAGGAAGATCAATCAAGTTCATGGATGGATATGGACAACTTGGGAATTTGGAAGGACAGGTCTAAGATGAGATTTAATGTAAAAATGTATAACACAATACACTTAGGGAAGACTAATACACAATACAGGTATAAACTAGGGAACTATTATCTAGAAAATAGATTTGAAGAAAGTGACTGGGGGGTAATTACTAATAACAAACTAAATAGAAATTCTCTGAATAGGCATAAAATAAAATCCATCCTAGCATATGAGGTACAGAAGAAACTACTTCAGAGACATGACTTCATTATTAATACTCTCGTCTTTCCAAACTTGGGAAACCTACAAAGAAATATAATAGTGTTTCGCATAAAAACAAATGTAATATTTCAAGACATACTGAAACAACCCAGTATGTCCTAAAAGGGTGCTATAATAAATAAACAAAAATGCAAAACAGGAATCTCTCATGTCTTTGGAGATAAAGTCAACTTAAAATTTCCCCTCCAAAATGATTGAGAAATATCTGTCAATCCTCCCCAAAATAAAATGATTCTATTAGATAAAGTGTCCAGGAAAAGAGCTATTTCCTTTACTTTCCTATTTCAGCAACTTTGTGAGAACATTTGCTTATAACTTTTCTCTAACCTTCCTAGCCATTTTCTTTTTATAAAAGTCATTGTATTCATTAGAAAAATTCAAGGCATAATGCTCCTTATTAAATGCAAATATGGCATAGATCACAGAGTAGTGAACAGTGTTATTGAGAGATCTAAATTTCAGTTCTGTCACAAAAAATATAAAGTACTAAGTATTGTGTGTGTGTGTGTGTTTGTGTGTGTATCTCTATAGATCATGGAAACATAGATAAGAGCCACTGTGTTTTTAACTAAGCCACGTCACTTTTAAAATAATAATTGGCATTTATTATCCATTTAAAATGTGCTAACATTCTATGGTTCTCATTTAATGCTCACTGTAACACTAAAATAATAATTATTTAATTCTTCTTAGTCTACATGCATTCTCTGAAATCCTCTTCCACTTCCATCTCTTTTATTTTCTATTTGATAATACCTAACAAATCAGCTCTAGAATCATATACTCAGCTGAATTCTGACTGTTCTTCAAAAGCAGGTCTAAACAGAGATCATTATTTTTTTACTGTGAACATCTTTGAAAAATAATAGTATAAAGAAATCTGACCTGAAAGTTAAATAAAGCAACTAAAAATAAATATGTTTAAAAAATATTGTAGCAGCCCTAACTGGTTTGGTTCAGTGGATAGAGCATCGGCCTACAGACTGAAATGTCCCAGATTTGATTCTGGTCAAGGGCATGTACCTTGGTTGCGGGCACATCCCCAGTAGGAGGTGTGCAGGAGGCAGCTGATCAAAGTTTCTCTCTCATTGATGTTTCTAACTCTCTATCCCTCTCCCTTCCTCTCTGTAAAAAATCAGTAAAATATATTATATATATATATAATATATATGTATATAATATACATATATATATATTAGCAATAATACAAAAGAGGGTTAAAATTCTCAATGAGAAAAAACCAAAATGTGTCCAATTGTTTATCCCTTAGATAGACTAGTCCTCTTCCCTGTGGGACACTGCAAGAAACAGGGATAAAGCTAATACTCTCATTTGGTTTTGGTACTGAAAAATGTACAAAATAACTTAGAAAAACTAGTTAATATCAAATGTTGTGAGCTTTATACTCTACCTGTCTAATCTTGATCTGCAGATACTTAATAACCATTGTGCAAGGCAGAGCTGATGTTAGGGCAGCCAAGAGTTTGCGGAGGAGCCCATCCTTTAAATATAGATTTAACTAATGACTTGTTCACCAATAATGGTTACTACAACCTATTAGAAATCCAATCCTACCACTGATAAGTTCTGTGATTTTGAATAAGTTATGTAATAAGTTATGTAATTTCTGTGTATTTCATTTTCCTTATCCATAAAGTGAGGATATTAATAGTTCCCTTTTTCTAGGGTTATTGTGACGACTGAGTAAAATAATTCAGATAAATAAGTGTCCAGTACCTAGTAAGCAATCAGTAAATATTTTCTTCTAATCACTACGAAAACCTTCATTATTACAACTACTTCTACTTCTAACTACTACTGAGCAACACCACCACTAGCATTATGGATTAAAGGCCTAACTTGATAGGCTTGCTCATGATCACTTCTCAACACCAGCCTACTAAACTGTGATGGTTAATTTTACAGATCAACAGGACTGGCTAAGTGATGCCCAGATATCTAGTGAAATATTATTCTGTGAGAATGTTTTGTGGCATAGATTAGGATATAAATTGGTAAACTGAGTAAAGATACCCCTAATCAGCCCTAGCTGGTGTGGTTCAGTGGATAGTGTGTCAGCCTACAGACTAAAGGGTTCCAGATTCGATTCTGGCCAAGGGTACCTGCCTGGGTTGTGGGCTCGATCTGCAGTGTGAGGCATGCAGGGGCAGCCAATCAATGATTCTCCTCATTGATGTTTCTCTCTCTCTCTCCCTCTCCCTTCCTCTATGAAATCAATAAAAATATTTTTAAAAAAGATAGCTCTAATCAGTGTGGGGGATTGTCATCCAAATGGTTGAGGCCTGAATAGAACAAAAAGGCAGAAGAAGGGCAAATATGCTCTCTGCTTGAGCTGGAAAACCCATCTTCTCTTGACCTCTGATATTGGCAATCCTGATTCCTGGGCATTTGGATTTGGACTGGGATTTCCTTTACTGGTTCCCCTGTTTCTCAGTCTTTTGGGTTTGGAACTACACCATCAGTATTCTTGCCTTCAGGTCAGCTTGCATATGGATGATCATGGGATACAGTCTCTGTAATCAGAGGTGTCAATCCTTTATAATAACTGTCCTTTAATATATTTTTTATGTCCAATCCATCTGTTTCTCTAGAGAACCCTAATACAGTTCAGTAAGAGTGAAGAATATTCGCCAAAGCAACAAAATATGGGGCTTAGCACACAGCGATGGTCAGTAGGTTAGGGTAGTTGAAAAGCACATATCAGAAGTGGAAGAGACAAAGTCTAGAAAAGTTGAGGTCAAACTATTCTGAAACATGCCCTGCAACCTGAAGGCAATCGAGAACCTCTCCCTATGGGATTTGTTAAAAAATAAAAAAAAGCTCTACTGAGGTACAATTTACATAAAATTAACTGCATCCCCAATCTCTGTTAATGTAAAACACACCTGCAAGTCTGATAAGACGGTAGGCCCAGCAGCTATCTGACTTATGTGGCCAAACCTAACAATAGAGAAGGTACTTGCAAAAGTAAACACTTACTCACAAATTGGCACAAACACAGCTTCATTATTACCACTACTTCTATACCTACTTATATGCAAAATGATAGTTATACCAAGGATTTATTCAGAAAGAGCCAATATATCACCACTCTGCTTAAGAATCCAAGGACTGAATACCGATAGTCAACTATGCTTCTTAGAATACATTTTAATTGTTAATGTGGAAGAATCTCAGCAATCTATAAGTTTCTCCATTGAGATTGGGACGCATTAGGTAGAAAACAGCTGATTTATTTAAAACTGGTAATGTTGATAGGCAGGCACATGTATGCACATACTAAACATGTATAAATAAAGCCAAACCTTTGGCTTTTTTTTTTTTAAATATATTTTATTGATTTTTTTACAGAGAGGAAGGGAGAGGGATAGAGAGCCAGAAACATCGATGAGAGAGAAACACCGATCAGCTGCCTCCTGCACACCCCCTACTGGGGATGTGCCCGCAACCAAGGCACATGCCCTTGACCGGAATGGAACCCGGGACCCCTCAGTCCGCAGGCCGACGCTCTATCCACCGAGCCAAACCGGTTTTGGCCAAACCTTTGGCCTTTTAAAGACAATGCGAGGAATTCAGTTCTCATGAACTTTTTCTTTCTTAGGGAAAGAAAAACCAACTCTTCTTCCTGAAATAATGCATGGTGCACTAAGTAACGACTTGCCTTACAAAGCTGGACTGAGTGAAGAATGAGAAACGGAAAGGAACTTATACTTTTTACTTTACATAACCTTGTTTTTCTTGATTTTTGTTTTTTACCAAGAATATACAACAGGGCCCTAACCGGTTTGGCTCAGTGGATAGAGCGTCGGCCTGTGGACTCAAGGGTCCCAGGTTCGATTCTGGTCAAGGGCATGTACCTTGGCTGTGGGCACATTCCCAGTAGGGGGCGTGCAGGAGGCAGCTGATCGATGTTTCTCTCTCATTGATGTTTCTAACTC